TTATTTTAAATACTTCTCCTTGTCATGAGGGTTCTGATGTTCCACCAAGCAACAGGAGTCTTAATGTCGATTTTGGACAATTCTCAGACATTATTTTTTAAAACATAGGCCTCGCCCCAATTTTCTCCATTTTATCCCTCTGGAACTCTAAATAGGTTTATGCTATACCTTTTATTCTATCTTCCCTATGTCTTAACTTCTCTAACTTCTCTTTTATATATTCTACTACTTTGTTCTCCATATTACATTGAGTAATTTCTTCAAATATACTTCACAGTTCATTAATTCTTTCAGTTGTCTTTTTCATATTATACACTGTAAAGGTAAATAAAAAATATTTTCTCTGTTTATAAAGGAAGACAAGGGCAGGCCCCGTGGCTTAGCGGTTAGGTGCGCGGGCTCCGCTGCTGGCGGCCCGGGTTCGGAGCGCGCACCGTTTCTCCGGCCATGCTGTGGCGGCGTCCCACATACAGCAACTAGAAGGATGTGCAACTGTGATGTACAACTATCTACTGGGGCTTTGGGGGAAAAAAATAAATAAATAAAATTAAAAAAAAAAAAGGAAGACGAGACCATTTCCCCTCTCTCCCCTTTCTAAGAGTGTTTGCTAGGAAAATCTAAAGGGCTTTAGTCCTCACTCTAACCTTTTGGAATGTAAATAAGTCTCTCAGAGGCCTGAGCTTCATCCCTTTTGAAATAACCTAGGAAGACAGAGCTTCACCTTGGGAGCCTAATATAGGTGTAATCATTTGTTTCTCAGGAAAATCCAGTCGGCCCTGCATATCTGTATCTGCAGGTTCCACATCCATGGATTCAACCAATCTTGGATGGAAAAACCTACGATGGTTGCGTCTGCAGTGAACATGTACAGACTTTTTTTCTTGCCAGTATTCCTTAAACAATACAGTTTAACAACTATTTACATAGCATTTACATTGTATTAGGTATTATAAGTAATCTAGAGATGATTTAAAGTATACTGGAGGATGTGTGTAGGTTATATGCAAATACTACGCTATTTTATATAAGGGACTTGAGCATCCTGGGATTTTAGTATCCACAGGGGTCCTGGAACCAATCCTCCATAGATACCAAGGGACAACAACTGTAAGCTTCATTATTCTTTTGGATGAGGACAACTAATTAAACAAATGGCTACCCCAATTCCCAAGTGAACTCAGAGTGAAGAAATGTGACAAAAGAAAAATTCAACCAAGAAGGATCTGGCCAGAAACTGTGATGTCAAGTCCTCCTACGGAAAACATGTTACTAGTAATCCAAATAACAAGCAATAATTATGCTGACAAAGGGGAAATAGGGTACTATTGATCCTAAAGCCTCATGTTATATGCTAGCTAAAAATAGCATGGTATAAAAGGATTATAATTAGTTTTGCTGTATAAATTTGTAAGATTTTATTCTGACTTGGTAGTTTCTTGTGGATTACCTATATACAATGACTGTATTGTGCTTACTCAATAATGAATGGATTTACTTTCTTAACATAGTGATGTGAAGAGGTCTCTCTTTCTTGGTAAGATTTTTACTTCCCTAATGATATTAATAATTCCAGCACCTATGACCCTTTGGGGCTATAATTTTGCTCTTCATTGTTTTTCATTTCGATCTCATGTTTGGCATTTCTTAAGAGTATGGGAATCCTGAGGGGCCTGGGTTGAGATATTCCTCTGGAGATTTGTGTTTGCTTCTGCCAGACACCAGAACACACTGCCCATCCACACCTACTTTGCTAATTTTCCAGCTAGAGGTTTCGTAGACCAGACCATGCAGGTGTAACTGCGGCCCTACAAGACCAGTTCACCTGACCCCATCTTATCATCAGAGTAATTAAGAGTTGTCTTTCAGGAACTAAGAGTCCCCCATTGTCCAGTTCAAGCCGATTGAGAACACCAACCCATCAACTGGGCCTGCGCAAATGCTCGATAAGTGACCTTTTTGACATCAAGGAGCTGAAAACTCCACCCTCAGATTATACTAACACCACCATTTTGTGAACATGCATCCTACGAAGAGCCAAGAAGCTTGACTATGCTTGCACAGATCATCAGTTGCCTCACTTCTCCCTGCCTCCAATCATCTGTCCACACTTCAGACTGCCCTGCCCTTCACCCCATAAATTGTGTTTCAAGCCCTGGATCAGAGAGACAGATCTGAGAGCATATGCCCCTGTCTCCTTGCAGAGCGATCCAGCAGTAAAGCTGTTTTCTTTTCCCAAAAGCTGATGCCATAATAATTGGCTTTTTTTAATGTGCATCAGGCAAGAGAACCCCAATTTTGGGCAGTAACACAGGTAGAGTAAAATCAAACCCTAAGCCTGCATGAGGGCAGACCTAAGGTTGTGAATTCTCAGGGGATACTTTTTCCTCCCACCTAGTACCAAGGGCCAAGCCAGACAAGACTAACTGGCTCTTCCCTTTGCCAGTGAGCAGACTGTATTTTATCCTTTAGATTCCAGTGTTCCAACATTAGGCAGGAGTCTCACCAAACTTTCCCTCTCCACCTCCCCACACCCCTACTCCCACCTTATATGAGCTTTACTTCCATGCTGCTGAGCCTAAGGCTCTTTTGCTTCAGCAAAAGTCCTTAAGGTGGCCCTAGAGTCAGCATATGCTTATCACATTTGTTTTCAGTTCTTGTTCTCCACCTACCCGATGCCTCCAACCTGGAGACGATGCCTCCAACCTGGAGACGTCCCTAACTTTCTTGTGACCTCTTTACATGTTTTGATTGGGGGGTGGGGGGAGCAGGTATCTTACTAGATTTTTTTCATCAGGAGGGTTTTTAAAAATATGTCATCCATTATGTTGCTAGAAGGAGAAATCTAAGGCATCTGCTTTATAGCAGTTATACGCCTCCCCAGCCACTATCCATCCTATGGGATAAGATGGAGGTAGAGGGAACAGATATAACATATGAATATGAAACAGAACAACTTGAAGAATATTATGGTTCTCAACTAATTCTCTCAGGTATCTTGGGTAAACTGTAAGTACTATGAATCTCTTTAGAACTTGAATACATGCATATTATAACATAATTTATGATATCTGCTTTACTACATGATTGTGCCAAGTGTTCACTTTTGTTGTTCTTTTTCTTCTCATCTTCCTATTACTTTCAATAACAAAACTCTTTATCCACAATTTCCTTAGTTAAAAGTATTAGGAACTTCCTGTTTTCTATTCTCCCCCTCATGGGAATAAATTTAAAATGATGTCAATCAATTTGCTTGGCCAATTGATTTATTGCTACATCTATAGGATCTGCAGTATCAGCACAATGCTGATACTCTCCGTGAGTCAACTCCTTTGTGAACAAAGACTAGTAACTCCTGATACCACAAACACAAAAGATTTTGACAGAACAATTACCTATTTAAGGACCACATATTCCTTGAATAGATATGCCTGACGATGTCAGGACAGGACCTGGCTTCAAAACTACAGGCTGAATTTGCAAGGTGTTGCTGAGCTTGGTCTTTTAAAAACTTGGATAGTTAGGCAAATGAGCCTACTTCAGGAGTACACCTAAATGCTCACATCTTGGTCCCTTCCCAAAGCCACAAAAGGTCTTGAATAAGTGTTGAGATTTCTGCTCTGTTTTATAGCACGCTTCTGTGGCAGTAGTGTGTCAGATTAGAGAGAGGGGAACTGGCATCAGGACACGGAAAACAATAAAAACAATCCAGTTACATAGGGAGATGGGTGGTCTGGAGCAGAAATCATAGGACCAGTAGTTTGGAATGGATCTAAGGTAATCTAGGTCAAGCTCCTAGTATCTATTGCTTAAGTTGGGGGCAGGAGGAAGGATGCTAGAATGTAAGCTGCACCGGAGCGAGTCCTCTCTGATTTACTCCAGGTTCCCTAGAAAGTGCCTGGCACATAACATGCATTCAATAAACACTTGACTGAATGAATACAGCAGTGCTACATAGAAGACTGGAAAGGTGGAAAAATTCACCAGAATTCGGGGGCTGAATTTGAGGGACAAGGCAATCGAGAAGAAACTTTCCAGGGACAGAACCGAGCATGTCAGGAAGGGGAGCTGGTTCTGGAAGAAAAGGACGGTAATTGGAAGCTGTGGCGATCAAACCTGCATTTCCAATATGACTGCAACCGCGTTACCTTACTTGAACACGACCTTTACCTAGGTTAGACGGGATGCAAATCCTCTCTAGATTTCCAAAAATTCGCCAATCATGTAAAAATGTTTCTTCCTAGATGCTGCCCGCACACCCTCCTCGTTCTTTCTGCACGCAAACGCGAGGGGCAGACGGGTGTTGCCAGAAAAGAAGCCGGCAGGTGAGGGGCCAGAGCTATGATCCAGTCTCCGCCGCAACTGCAGCACCTTCCCCAATCGTGGGGAGTCCTTCAAGGGGAGATGTGGAAGAAAATGACTTAAAGTAACAGGGTGCAGGCGGAACAAGGTAAGGAGCTTGTGTCCAACTCTTAGATCTCCTGGTTCCAGGCTCTCTCTCCGGGGCCACCTGGCACCAGCCGTGGAAGTATGACCGAGTTTGGGTAAAGGTCGCCAGCTGACGGGACGGTAGCCAGGAGACCTCTAGGTGCGTCAGAGTTGAGGTGTCACCCTCCGGGCAAGCAAAACGCCCCGCTCAAAGCGCATTACGTCACCAAGCACAAGAGCTGTCACCTCAGCAGGTAACGCCCTCGATCCTCGACGCGACCCGGCTCCACCCTCCCCGCCCGCAAACGCATGCGCACAAAGGCAGGAGGGTGATGTCAGCCCCTCCCGACACCGCCTCGACGTCGTAAGTCCAAAGACCTGTCGTAACTGCCCGGCAAGAGAGGCCTCGAAAGGAAGGGCACCAACGCGGCACACTCTACCCTGCTAGCCGGCATGCGCGCTCAGGTCGCGGACGCAGGCCCTGGAGACTGGAGCCAATGAGGTGCGGTAACGTCACTGCGTATCAGCCCGCGCGGCCGCACGTCGGGCCGCGGGAGGGCGGAGCGAGTTCGGTTGCACCAACACCGGTACATAGGCGCGGACCGGCGTGTCCTTGGAGTTAGAAAGCGGGACGTCCGGCTTAGGAGCGGGAGTGGTAGTATCGCGCGCGGAAAGAGCGGTGAGCTCCGGGTGTAGGGACCGCTGCTGGGAGCAGGCGGAGCCTTGGGGGGCGCGCGCCTGGGTGGGGTGCGCGCGAGCGAGCGGAGGCCGGCGCCCGGGACCGCCGAGTGACCCCGCGTGGAGCGGGCAGGGAATGGCGATCTGTAGTGTCTCAGCCCGAATCGGGTGGGATACGGCCTGAGATGGGGCGGAACCCCAACTAGGTAAACTCCGGACTCAAGTCAAGGCCCAGAGGCGGCTGAGACACGGATCTGACCGAGACGCAGGGCTTCCCATTGTCGGGGTTGAAGGGCTGTGGAAATAGTAGATAAGACTTTCTCCGGGGTGAGGGCGGGAGTACCGGGACCCTGCGCAGCGCCTCGCGTCCTTTTTCAAAGAGCAAAAGCTACTGCTCCTCCAGTAAGGGGTTATTTTTTACCCTGGACACCTGTCGCTTCTCTCTTTAACCTACTCAGGCATCTCGGAAAGGTAGGTTTCGTCAGTGTCCTTGAAACCGGGCAGGATGGGTAACCTCGTGTTCGATCCTGGGGATTCAGAGCTGGAGGATGGGGGTCCCTGGGAGACCTCGCAGCCCGCCGCTGCACCCCCCACCCACAGCAAAACAGTTTAGAGTGAGCTGAGCAGGCTGAATCGACCATGACCTCTTTTTTTAATGTTTTGCCTTATTTTCAGAGAGAAATAGCTTTAAATTGTAGTATGAGTGCAATTAGGTCTTAAAAGTTGGAATGTTGGTGGTTTGGGTTTAATGTAATCGCGGTTCAGCTTAATCAGATTTGTGACTTTTTGTGACCTTGACCTCACTTTTTGAAACAATTTTGAACTAGTTTCTCACTTGCTTACTTGGGCTTTGACCTTTCATCACTTAAACACACATGGATGTCTTTTTAGCGAAGTTCTCCTTTCAAATAGTGTTTTTGGTATTAAAGAGTATTGTAAGTGTACTAAGTAAAACATCCTGGTACTTAATGTCTTAGATTTGCAATGGATTAGTAATTAAGTGACTGGCATGATCATTGGTTTCCAGTGTATTTTTACTTGGAGGAAAAATGTAATAAATTGAGTCTTTCATTTTTAGATTTAAAAATGGGTGATGTTGAGAAGGGGAAGAAGATTTTTGTTCAGAAGTGTGCCCAGTGCCATACTGTGGAAAAGGGAGGCAAGCACAAGACTGGGCCAAATCTCCATGGTCTATTTGGGCGAAAGACAGGTCAGGCCCCTGGATTCTCTTACACAGATGCCAACAAGAACAAAGGTAAGAGGGATAGAGTTGCTAAATAACCGAAGTACAAACTGCATGAATGTAATCTATGGTAAACCCTTTATCAGGAGTGTAAAATACTTAACACTACATCCCTCCTTGTTTAGGCATCACCTGGAAAGAGGAAACACTGATGGAGTATTTGGAGAATCCCAAGAAGTACATCCCTGGAACAAAAATGATCTTTGCTGGCATTAAGAAGAAGGCAGAAAGGGAAGACTTAATAGCCTATCTCAAAAAAGCTACTAATGAGTAATAGATGGCCACTGCCTTATTTATTACAAAACAGAAATGTCTCATGCCCTTTTTTATGTGTACCATATTTAAATTGATCTCATACACTAGAATTCAGATCATGTATGGCTGATAGAATGTTTCTGTTGAACAGTCCTGATTTAAATAAGATTGGCTTGTGGCTAAATGGATACAAAAGACTTTTGGTAGTAATTCCAATCCAGTAAGTGTTATCCCTGTTTTCCCCTTCTAAAGATATGATTGGACTTGATTAGTGATGTTCAACTTTTCACAGAGATGGTGAATGTCGTCTCAAAACCTATAGGAGATTGGTTTTATATGTAAATTTATACAACTGGTTATAGTAATATATTGAAATACTGAGGAGATTACTGTCTCATAGAACAGAGCAAGACTTACCTGTTCCAAGTTGTGTTCATTAGCCTGTTAAAGGCAAAGGCTGAAGATAAACTGACAATGTCCACTTTATCTTTTTGGTCTTAACTATACCAATTCAATTAAAATTCCCTATATCTAAAATGTTGCCTTTTACTTAATGAAAGGCATTTTAGTGTGGTTTATGTATAATTTCAAATAAAGACTATTTAACACTTCTGACATTTTATTGATGATCTGTGAGGTCAGATGCTTTAAAATTCAGCATGACAAACTTTGCTTGTGAATTCTTTTCTAAGTCATACTAGGTTATAATTGAGGGTTGTCTTTTAAACAGCTATTCAAAAACACATACAACTAGAACTACTGTATATGTATGATTGGTAATGGTGCTTTTGCCAACTCAGGAGATATACCATCGGCACAAATTTGTAAATTATGTGATTGTAAGGCTTAAGAATTTAAAAAAATCACAGATTGTGGTTTTTCTAATGTCCTTGATTTAATGACTGATGCCAAAATTTTAACGTTTGAAAAGTACAATAGCTCTAAATATTGATGCAGCAATGTTACTAGTCATAGTACTAGGTTGCGTTTACTTGGTCCTCTAGGACAGCCTCAACTAGAACATTTCAGTAATCCAGCCTTAGAGTTTCTTGGGCCAGAATGAGCACTGCAGCATTTCTGCCAAACGTGGATAGAATGTGCTTCTAGCCATAGTTTTGTGGTATTTAACAGTGTATAATTTATGTACTAAATTATTTCATACACAGTCCATGTCATACATGTTTAGAGTAGTTCCTGGAAATTTTATGGAGATAGTGAGCTTGAACTAAGCCATAAAGAATGGTGAAAGAGGGGGCCGGCACCGTGGCTTAGCGGTTAAGTGCGCGCACTCCACTACTGGCAGCCCGGGTTCGGATCCTGGGCACGCACCGATGCACCGCTTCTCTGGCCATGCTGAGGCAGCATCCCACATACAGCAACTAGAAGGATGTGCAACTATGACATACAACTATCTACTGGGGCTTTGGGGAGGAAAAAAAGGAGGAGGATTGGCAATAGATGTTAGCTCAGAGCCGGTCTTCCTCAGCAAAAAGAGAAGGATTAGCATGAATGTTAGCTCAGGGCGGATCTTCCTCACAAAAAAGAAAAAATGGTGAGAGAAATTCTCAGGTAAGAAAATAAATCTGTGCTGGTGGTAAGAGCCATGTCTGTGGGACAATGAGGACACTGGGAGGAGGCCTTGTCAATGTTTTCACAGGTGATGGGGTGATTAGATAGGCCTTTAAGGCCTGACAGAGCAATTTGTAACTTGTAAATCTTACTTTCAATCATTGGAGAAATGTGAGAAAGCAAGGAAGTCAGTCTGGAAACATGTGCAGAAACAATTTGGGGAAGCAAAAGAAAGCCTGCTATAATTCAGATGGTGAGTGCTAGTCTGAGTATTAATGAGTTAAATCTTTCTTTTTTTTGGTGAGGAAGATTGGCCCTGAGCTAACATCTGTGCCAATCTTCCTCTACTTTGCATGTGGGATGCCGCCACAGCATGGCTTGACGAGTGGTCTGTAGGTCCGTGGGATCCGAACCCACGAACCCCGGGCCGCTGAAGCAGAACACATGAACTTAACCTCTACACCACCAGGCCGGCCCCTGAGTATTACTGATGGGGAATTAAAAACTGCATCCTGGAAATCCTTCAGAAGTAAAGCCTCTGTAACAGAGGCCTTAGTAACTGCATCAGTTAGTGAAATTTTGAGACAGTATAGTGATTAGCTTGTAAGAGCCAGTTCTGGACCACTATGGGAAGACATGGAGACCAGGGAGTTGATTTAGTTCTGTGTCTCTTACATCAAGTAAGGCCTGTGTTGGCACAGATAATTACTGAGTACCTGCTGCATTCTAGGCCAGTTAGACTCAATAAGTGCCTCTAGTGATTTATAATGTAAGTGATCCTATAGTTTATTCAAAAGAAGGGACATTCCCAGCTGTAAGGGGTATATGCTGTCTTAGAAATAAATGATAAAAAGCTAGCACTGTATAACCCATGTGTCTTCATTCCTTATGCTTCATTGTAGGTGGCTTGGTGACTGATATAAAAAGTGAGAGCCAGATGTATTTAAGGAGTGTTTTTTCCAGGGCCACCTACGCTCAGTATTTTGTCTAGAACAGCACTGTCCAATAGAACTTTCTGTGATGATGGATTGGATTTGTACTGTCCAGTATGGTAGCCACTAACCACATGTGGCTATTAAGCCCTTGAAATATGGCTAGGTGACCACAGAACTGAATTTTTAATTTTATAGAACTTGAGTTTAAATTTATATAGCCACAAATGGCTAATGACTAGTGTATTGACAGCACAGGTCTAGAACTAGAACCAGTGGTCTATAGCAAAAGTACTTCCCCTGGACTCTATTTTCTTAATCTAGGGTTCTTGCAAGTATACTAAGTACCCTTCAGAACGCTGATTCCAATTCCTGTTTCAAAGTCTGATGTGCTCATCTCTTACCGTACGTTTTACCTGTTCCATTCATAATTTGGCACTTTAGGTAGGTGGCATTCTGGTAGGAGGTAGAAGAGATACCTTTTTGTCATCGTTTTCCCACACTTTTCCCCAATTTTTTTTAGAGACATTATGTTGTACCTTTTCGTTTTAACCTCTGAAGATTCTTGTAAATTGGAAAGGCTGTGATGGAATTCACATGCTGTCTAGGAAGAGGCCTTACCAGGGGCTGTCCCTTCCCAGTTGACTAGACTCAGGCTGTTTCATGTCAGTCAAGCTCAGGCAAGAGTAAACCAAATCCAATTTACTTACAATGGAAAGTATTAATTTTTAGTGATGGTGTCTTTTGGCTCCCCTTCATATTAGAATACAGATGATCCTCGATTTAGCATGGTTTGACTTAGGATTTTTTGGCTTTACTATGGTGCAAAAGTGGTATGTATTCAGTAGAAACTGTACTTTGAATTATGAATTTTGATCTTTCCCCGAGCTAGTGATACATGTAGGATACTTGTGATGCTGGCTAGTAGCATCGAGCCACAGCTCCCAGTCAGCCACACGATCACGAGGGTAAACAACTGATACACAACCATTTTGTTTTTCACTTTCAGTACAGTGGTCAACAAACTACATGAGATAGCCACTACTTTATTATAAAATAGGCCTCGTGTTAGGTGATTTTGCCCAATTGTTGGCTAATGGATGTGTTTTGAGCACATTTAAGGTAGGCTAGGCTAAGCTATGATGTTCAATAGTTTAAGTGTATTAAATGCATTTTCGACTTAGGATATTTTCAACTTATGATGGGTTTATCGACACTTAACTCCATTGTAAGTCGAGGAAGATCTGTACCTTGAAAGCCAGGTAAGATGTTGCTGAGCATGGAATTAGAGCTGTTAAGGTATCATTCATAAAGGCAAGGCTGATGCCTGACAGCATGTGAATACACCTCTATAGTGACCAGGAAGTTTGTCTCCCAGATGACTCCTCTAGTCAGTGCTGGAATATGCACTGAACTGCTTCTTTGGCTCCATTTTTTGTGCCCCAGACTGACCATTGACCTGGTGTTCACATACTTAGAGTATAATGCAAAATACTAGGTTTTCGCATGCTTAATAACAGTAGGATTCCAGCTTATCTTATTTGGAATCTGAGGTATCTGAAAACTGGTCATACCGTCAGGCTGTCTTGGTTCACTCAGAAAGCTAAACAGGGGCCTAACCGGTGGCGTAGTGGTTGGGTTCACGCACACCACTTTGGCAGCCTGGGGTTCGTGGATTCAAATCCCGGGAGTGGACCAAGGCACTGCTCATCAAGCCATGTTGTGGGGGCATCCCACATACAAAATAGAGGAAGGTGGACACAGATGTTAGCTGAGGGACTGTCTTCCTCAGCAAAAAGAGGAAGATTGGCAACAGATGTTAGCTCAGGGCCAATCTTGCTCACAAAAAAAACGCTAAACAGTCAGTGTTTATTAGTTTATTTCTCAAAGGGTAAATATATATCCAGGCTCTCAGGAGAATCTTCACTGGTAGCCTGTCTATGTATCACCAACAAAGTATAACTTTCTGTACATGGAAATATACAACAGCGAGAGGACCAATGTGTGGTAATTGATACATCATTGACAGTTTTTAGAAATCGCCTGGCAGAAATGCCAAGAGATGGACTGATTGGCTGACTTGCTAGAGCTTTGGTAAAATGGGATATTTTAATCACATTAGACAAGTCCTAGTGTTGGAACAGGAAGAGTTCTTGGAGATCCTTAGAATCCAGCTGTGCCATTATACAGATGTGAAGTTAACCTGAACTCGGCTCCAGGAACTATGGGAACTACTCACGTTGGGTTGGGTTGGGTTGTGCTGGGCCAGGCCACTTACAGGACCTGGTGGTCCAACCTAGCTAGTCACTGAGAGGAGGGAAACTGAGGCATAAAACAGCTGGGTTTGGAGAGGGATAAGTTTAGCCCAGTGCCCCAACACCCCTACCTGAGCTGTAAAGCTTTCCTCTTGAGGGGCTGAGGTATGTGGTGGACAGGAGCCAAGCAGCCTGAGATGGAACATAACCCATACCCCTTCTGGAGTGTTCCCTTCCCACATATGAGGAGCCCTGCCTGGGAGCTTGCTCTTTGAAGGGTGCTGAGCCCAAATTGGCCATAGTCAAGTGCTCTCACCACTGGCCTGATTACAGGGCCCTCACTTGGGGGAGGGAAACCATTCTCCACCTCCTTTTCCATCCCTCTAGATTTGTTCACGTTTTGCACTCGTTTTTTTTTTTTTTTTTTTTGCTGAGGAAGACTGGCCCTAAGCTAACATCCATGCCCATCTTCCTCCACTCTGTGTGGGACGCCGCCACAACATGGCCTGGGACGCCGCCACAGCATGGCCTGACAAGTGGTGCATCAGTGCACGCCCGGGATCCGAACCCGGGCCGCTAGCAGCGGAGCGTGCGCACTTAACCACTATGCCATGGGGCCGGCCCCAACATTTTGCACTCTTAACACCTACTAATAGGTTGTCTACGCTGAAAAAACTAGCTGATGAGCCACATAGCCAAAACCACAACCAAGATACCCTACTGGAATTCAGACTTAATCTAAACCCCCTTTATCCAGACATATAGAGAGCTCATTAGAGCTGCTTTTTTGCTTTTTCTTCCTCTACATTAGAAATGCGGCTATGGGGGCTGGCCCGGTGGGGTAGTGGTTAAATTTGCGCTCTC